ATGTAGAAATTTTTGAAATGGTGTATCTTTGGCTATGTATATTTTCACCAAAAATAAAAGGTCCTCCAAGGCCAAGAAGGGAGCGTGTTGACATGTCATGGGCTTGTTAACCAAGATCATAAAACATATGTGTACTGACTGTTTAATGAGAAAATATTTGTTCTGTAAACCTTCACCTAAAGTACAATTTAAAAAAAAAAAAGAGAGTTCCAAATAGATCCAGAGATCATATGAATACACAGCCCAGTCAAGAAGATCCTAGTATATACAGAAACTCAACATATGGTAAAAGGAAACATCCATTTGACAAACATTTGTTGAGCGCTTATTTAGACAGGCACTGTGTTAGGTATAGAGTCCCTGTGTGATGCAAAGGTTAACGTGCTTGGCTGCTAACTGAAAGGCTGAAGGTCTGAGTCCACCCAGAGGTGCCTTAGAAGAAAGGCATGGTGATCTACTTCAAAAAAAATCAGCTGTTGAAAACCCTATGGAGCACAGTTCTACTCTGACACACATGGAGTTACCAGGAGTTGGAATCGACTAGACAGCAACTGGTTTTTTGGGTTATGTAGGCCAAAAAAAAAAAAAAAAAACCCTGTTGCCGTTGAGTCGATTCCGACTCATAGCAACCCTATAGGACAGAGCAGAACTGCCCCATAGGGTTTCCAAGGAGCAGCTAGTGGATTCAAACCGCCGATCTTTTGGTTAGCAGCTGTAGCACTTAACCACCGTGCCACCAGGGCTCCTGTTAGGCACTACAGATAAAACTGTGAACATGACACAATCCATGTTCTCAAGAAGCTTAGAGTCTAATACACCCACTCCTTACTTACTGACATATAGTTAGGTTCCAAAGACCAGGTTGTTATGCGAAAATCAGTGTTATGGGAAAATGGAGGACAACCACATTAGAACCAAAATGGAGGATGACTATATCATTACATGACTGCCAAACCACTGAGAATCATGGCCCAGCCAAGCTGACACATAACCTTAGCCATCACAGCCAGTGTTACTCTCACCCTGCACCTCACCATTCATTACTGCCAGGTATACATTGTTAATGCACAAAATAGCTGGATAGTAGATCTTCTACTACTGTCATAAATGCGAAATGCCAGATAACAAGATCGATAAGCGAGGAGTAGGTGCACCACATTTCTATGGAAAACTGGCTATCAATTGGGGGGGTGGGAAACCAGTTTAGATTCTCTCCTTATACTAAACATCAAAATTAATTCCAGATGAATTTTATCTGTAGGAAGATACTTAAATCTGTGTAAATATTCTTTTCCTCAAAAACTTTCATCCAAGCATCCTATTTAAGATTCTTTCCTGAGTAAATTATCGTTACAATACTATTCTTATATTCCACTATTTGTATTAGTTACATTTTATTGTAAAACAAGTAAGTAAATAAATAGCTTTCTCTTCTCTTTCCTTCTTTCTATTCATTAGCATCAGTATGGACTCATGTTTTTTTTCAATGTGTTATAATTCATTATTGCCACTATTCATTCTGATGTCCAAAATGTCCCTGGTTTGGCCAGCGGAAGCCCCTCCAAGTTGGCTCCTGTGTCCTTTTGATATGCCTCTATTGCTTTTTGAGTACTCCTTTATTTTCTGACCGAACAAAATATTGTAAACTCATCTTGAACTTTCCCTGCCCCAGGCTTGAAATCAGTTATTTTTAAGGTACGTGATATATCCACCAAATCATTTCCTAGGTGGAATATACCAATTTATAATTTCACATGCAGTGTAAGAGAGTGCCAGTGTCACTGCATCCCAGCCAGAACTGAGTTCCATAATTTTCAAAAACATCTTTGAATTCCCTATTAAAGGGAAGCGGGTCTCCTTAGAGCCTAAATTTCTAACCAGCTTATACAATATGGAAGTGATAGGCTCAAAAGAAAGAAAATTATGTACAAATGTTTACAAAGGTTTTATAGAGCATTCTTCTTCACTTCACAATTGACCTTCTTGAAAAACTTTTCTTGACTTATATTCCCTTCCACATTTCCCAGTCACATT